GTAAAAAGAAAAAACGAATATTATTTTTCCAACTCATTCAAAGTCCAGTCATTTATAGACATCCATTAATTTTGTGTATTTATGAGAGTTTTATGATTTTTAAAAGAAAAAACAAAAGTGTGATACATTGAATATGTACACTCAATATATTAGTTTTAATTAATTTATAAAATTATTTTAATTATATGACCTAGTTACATCGATAAAAATTAAATTAACGATAATCTACGGAGCGAAAACTGTAAAATCCGAGACCTTTGACTGTTCTCGTTCACCCATATGCGGTACATATAAAAGACGCTGTGGCGCAAAGAGACCAGGGGGATGAAGTGGGCAACGACGACCGGCAATTACTCGTATTAAGTTGCGTTTTTCCACTTGAATGCCCACTCTCTATGATACTCGTACACACTCGTCTCGTTCGTTCGGAGTTTAACTATCCAAACTTACTAGTACAAACATATCATATTCGTGATATTCAAGTGGTCCGTTCATTTATACCAAATGCATCTATATGATCGTGCATGTGCATACTCATAATCATCATTTATGTTAACCTTTTTATTTGATAATAAATTATACATTTATAATTAGATTTGTATTTATTATTAAAATCGAATCAACTCGTATAGCATGAAATTAAAACTTATGTATTAATACACAAGTTTAAATCTCCTATTGACAATTTTAGGCTTGATCTGATTGAGTTTAAAGTCAATACATATAAGGGAATCATCTATCGGTATTCGTATATCTTATTAGTTAAATATATATATATATATATATATATATATATATATATATATGTATATAACTAATAAGATATAAAAACTGTATTAATAATAAATGTAGTAAATATTCAATTTTGTTACAATAAAACTCCAATTAAAAGTAGCAGAATATACTGATGTAATAAATATGTATTGCCTCTCAATATGTCAATTATAACTTGAGATATAAACGAATGTTGAGAATAATTATTAGTTTTATATTTTTTTCCAGAAAGTAATGTAAATTAAATGTACATTATTTACGTCACTTCATTATGAAAGTTTATTGTATTTTATTCCATTTTTGAATGGTAATTTTATTTAAACAAAAATTCAGTAGGAGTGTGTTCAGCTACCACAAGACACAACAGATGGAAAACTGAATCTGTAAAATTGATGACTCGCTAACATATGTTCAGATAATTCACAGACGTATGTATTTCACAGTTAATTAAATATAGAACGTAAAGTAGTGTCATAATTTGTTACGATTGACAGTCGTCAAAATAAAATGTTACTGTGAATCAATGACTTTTTAAAAATAGCTATGATAAGATTTTTAGTTTTTAGATTAATTTATATTACTATTTTGATTTGGATTACAAGTAGAAGATAAATATTTAATGAATTTTAAGCGGGGAAAATATATCAACTAGCCCTGGAGCATTGAAGTCACGCTATACCTTTTTTGATCCTCAGAATTTATTTATCTCGAGTTAAAAAAAAGGGATATAAAGGACGTTATTTAGTGTAATACTGTATTTTATCTTGCTCAAATCTTCAAAAACCTTTCCAATTAACTACTTTATTCTATTCACCGTTTGAATCCATATAATTAATTCAGTCGATCTTGAAAGCTTTTTCGTATGTAAAATATATTTGAAAACAAAAAAAAAAACAAAACAATTAGTAGAGCTTTATAATATCAAAGAAGTTTTAATAGTTGATTTCTAGTAATTTTTGCACTAGTCATCAATTGTCAACAATAATTAAAACTTTTAGAAAAGTGTGAAAAAGCAGTATTGATACACCAGCGTTTTTGAAGATTACATGATATCAGCTTTGTCAAAATCTTGGCTAACTTATACAAGAATCAGTAAAATTGCGCGAAAACTTCATGACGAAAGTAATTTTTGAAAAAATGAGAACTATTGTTTTCTATATTACAGACAGTAGCATATTATGAAACGATATGGTCTCCAAGTCTCGCATGTTATGACCAGGCGGTCTTACAAGCTAACATCAGTTTCTTCGAGCATGCGAACCGACTAGCAAAATCCCTGCAATATATCTACACGTACAAAGAAAGTAAAAAGGAGGAGGCATAGGAGCCAATGAAGGATCTGACGACAACATAACAGTTAAGATACAAGTACGTACTTACACTCATACTTTTACAATAGTATATATTGCATTATTATACAGACTAATTGTGAGATATATCTACATACATAAGTATAAATATATATATATATATATATATAGATATATATAAATTTATTCTTTCGTATGAGATATGATTGCTGATATGACATGCAAACGTCTTAGATATAGCTTGCAACTATATACAACGTATATTCTGCACGACACCATGTACAGCATTCTTCATTTATATGTTTAACATAATTAAAGATAAAACTTCGGTCATTTTATTTTTTTTAAAAAACAGAATATTCTTTTTTAAATGAATTTGTACATACAGAGTAGTCGCCCTGATAATTGGTTGTACTCCTGTGGCTGACCAATACCGAATTTTTGTATACAAGCTGTTAGTAGTTACAGGCACGTGTAGAAGAATGAACTAATTATCGACTTACTAGTTTTGAAATTTTGATGTTTTTTATTGAAATATTCTGGCCATCTGAAGGTATATTTATTATCATGAAATTGATCAGTAATTAAAGGTTATAGAAAGAGGGTTGAAAGTTAATGTTTTCCTTATCATTTAAGATTTACCCCTTCTATTTTTAAATGGAAAACAAACTTTATTACTGTGACTTCAATATTTATTAGTCAAGATTATTTAGAATGAAGAAATTTATCTTAGTCAATTGTTAAGCTCAACAGAATTTAAATGTCAATTGAATCATTGATGATGTAATTGACAAACGATTAGTAAAGAAGAAAACTTTATGTCAAATGTTCGATGATCAAAGGAAGTTAGATTAGAAATAATTATGACAGAAAAGTTGATTGTATATTCATTTATTTTTTATTTAGTTGTCGCTGAAGAAAAACTAAAGTCATTTCTAAGACCACGTTCATTCTTGGATCGATAACAGATAGAAAGTAATAGGGATTGGTCTTATGGTTAAGAATCGAGGAAAGAAGCGAATGGTTTTTATAGCCAGTGAAGGATAGGGAGGGTTTCAAATTCTTGGGTACCTTACTCGACCAGAGTATCCCTAATATACGTCATCCTTTTAACGGTTCACTTTTTTTCATTTTTTCTATGATAAAATTTATGCATCTAGAAATATGGTTATTTTGACATTAATATTTTTAATATGAAATTTTTAATGATCATGCATTTTTTAAGATTATTTTCTTAAAAATATAATTCCAAATAGTTTCATCATTTTTTGGTAAAAAGTTATATCCATTTATTTGGAGATGAAAATTGTTTGTTTTTTGTAATTTTATTTTCAAAAAAAAGTTAAGTTAAGATTATATTCCAACAATGTTCTTACTTAAATTCATTCTTGTCGGACAAAAATATAGCTAAAAGTAACTTTCATTGATTAGTTTTCAATGTTCATTCATTAGTTTTTTATTCTACTATAAACCTATAATGTAATTTGATAAAATAACTTTACTTTATATCTCGTTCTATCATGAGCTTTGGAGCGAGCTTACAATTATAAAGAAATCACATTAAATATTTATTTCAACCACATAAATATAATCGCAGATGCAAGTTAATTTGTCCGTCTTACTCAATTCACCTGACACGAATATATTGATAGGTATTTGTTTCAGAATTGTTTGTTCATAATAAAAATACTTGGAAGAATAAACTGTAAGTATATGGGTGGTCAAAAGAACGATCCAAAGCGAATTGTTGATCGAGGATATGAGACGAAGCATGCTGCAAGAGTTGTAAATATAATTGGACGCGCTTCTGATTTGTACTGTAGCTCAAGCTCAGTCACGTTCATCTCTATTTAGATACATATATTCAAAGTATCGATTCAATACTCGACTATTTTTGCAATAGACACTAGTGTTATTAGTAAAAGTAATTCACGACAAGTCTGGTTAAATAAGAAATTTATGAAAAATATATTGTAAATAACTCTCCACTGGGAAGTTAATAACAAAATCATGACTTATTGTGACAGGAAAGTAAATGAAAAAAATATAAACATTTTGAATATTGGCATAGACAACTAAAAGTAGAATTGAGTTAAATAGCATTGAAAAAAATAGGAAAATATAAGCGATGTAAATTCCTATAAGAAAAAAAGGATTTGATATTAAGATTGTGCGCGTATACGAAATGGTTAATGCGGGGAGTCTTGAGCACGCCCAGAGCTCAGCGAATGAGCATGCACACGAGTGGCGTTTCGGGGTCCCGGTCTTGAACGAGGTAAGACCTGTGTATATACTGACTCGAGTCGATAGCCAGAAAGGTCGTCAGTTCTGGTGAGAATTTCAGAGTGAAAAAAGCTTTCGTTTCATGATCTGTATAAGACTGCTTATTGCACATGAGGAGTGTATAATAACAACATCTATAAATACACTGAAACATACATGTACATTTAAACATTGATCAAATTAATTAATTGTGGTTTCTTCAAAAAAGTCAAGACATGTTTATTAAAAGTCAACTTTCACCCTTATTTTAAACTCAGAAAGGACAATTAATATAATAATAATCACGACGATAATAATAATAATTTGGAGAAGAAGCAAAACTACAGAAGAGAGTAAAGAGTGTGGGTGTAAAGGGAGTGAGGAAACAAGTAGAGACAGCGGCTGATCATTGGTGGACAGCGATGTGATGTTGACTATGGTGGGGAAGTGAACGTCACCCCCGTGTGGTCTGCTGCTGCAGCTGCAGGTGGGGAACAGAAGGGCGCAAAGAGTACAGGAGAGGTATAGAGAGAACGACGACGACGGCGACGTCGATGACGACGTCAAGTTGATCTGGAGGGAGAAGCAACGATTGTGAGAAGTAGAAGGGGTTTTAGTGAGGTGCAGACGACGTTGAGGGGCAAGAGGGGATTCGCAAATATCGCAAAGCGATGTGGAGAACAAGAAAACTTATTCTCTGTTGGTGAAGAGATTTGAAGAAACTCGCAACTACTACCAATTTTATGTGTTACTATTTCATCGTCTCTTCATTTAGTGATTGTCAGTGAATATATTGAAACGTCCACTCAATAATGTTAGTTGATAAAGACTGAAAATACCAGTAAAGTCAACAGCCAAATTTCTGAGAAGAGAGAAAAAAATTGTATCGTTACAAAAACCAGTGACATTTGGATACATCAATTGTATGGCTCAAACAATCTGTAGATCAGTTATTAGTGCTTTAATTTGGAGTTTACTGGCAGTCGTCTAGCGATGAGATCAAAATCAGTGGCGCGAAAACTTGGTCAGGGTGAGTGTCAAATTGGTTGTATTATTTATTCCATCCACCATTTAATTATACCATGAATCGACATGTTTTCCAAAAAAAATAGGATTTTGAAAATGATTTAAAAGTCATTGAATACCTATATTTATTTATGGGTACACAGTGAATGTGTTAAAACGAAAGACAATTTTTTATACTTAAACGTCTAGGATTATAAATAACAGAAAAGATATAATAAGTAAAAGGGTAAAAATTGTCAAGCGATAATATGTTCTCCTTCTTTCCTCCTTTCTTGTGATATATATGTATACATAAGATACGAAGTACACCTCGTGGATGGGCGCGTATTCGTGACGGATGAAAAAGAGGCGGAGCAGCGCCCGCGCATCATAGTCATTACAAAACACTTATAGAATGACATATATATATATATAAACTCATTCCTCATATTTTTCTGTCTTGTCTCGTTGACGCATCAAAAGTCAGTTCTGACTATCTCCAAAGTCACGCCTACATTTTTCGCTAGTAGCCTTCTCTGTTGATAAACCTTTTCTCCAGATAGTTAAACTATTGATAAAAATACGTATTACTAAGAAAAAGGAAGAATAATGATTTTTAAAAAATGCAAAAATATTTTTTGGAGTAAATGATCAAATGGAAAAGAGAGAGCAGCAGTGTTAAGATATTTTTGAAAATAAAAATGGTTCATCCCATTCACAACGAGTCTAACCTGGACATGGTACCGGAAGTCGGATATGTATAGGAAGACAAAGCCAGTAAGACGCGCGTATACCATGCTCACTGGGGATGAGGTAGTTCTCTGTTTCATCATGGTCTTTTGTCTCGCATCCTGGAAGAAAGAACGAATGAATGTAAAGAGTCTGAATAGATTGGATGATCCTGAGCTAGGTCAAAGTCCGTTTTTTCTCGTTTTCGTTCTCATTCTGATGTTCACAAATATCTATGAGATCCCTATTACCAGTATAAACTTATGTTCTTGTTCCTCTTGTTCTTTCAGTCGTGTCTTTATCTTACACCAATTCTACCATCCTAATTCCAATCAACGTTTCTATATATTCTTTCTTAAGATGATTTATTTTCTGTTCTCATGAACTGCAGCTTCCTTTTAATGAAATAAAATCTGCTTCCGCCCGCGCATTGTCTTTTTGTTCCACCACTAGCGTACTATCGTTTTATCTCATCAGCAAAAAATTTCTCTTCTTGGAGAATACACTCGTTTTACAGCTCCAAGTATCAATGTTGTATGATTAAAGTTTGCTAAAGATCGAGGGTTGTTTTTCCTCGTTAAAAATGAATTTACTTTGGAGTTTTGTTGTAGTTTATTATGATTAAAACTCTTCAAGTCTTTATAATTTTTTTATTTTCGAAGTATTTATTTTATGAAATTAAAAAAAGAAATTTATTTGAATAAATACCAAAGAAAGAAATCATTTTATTCAGTTATGCAGTGTAAGAATTGATAAAATAAATATCATCATCAACTATTTTTCTTTCAATTTTATTTTTAGGTCTAATTGATTGAATATATGAAGAATATATCACAAGGATATCTTAAGCGATAAATTTCACGATGTTAGTATAATAAACCTCTTAATAGTAAAACATAACAATACTAATGCAGTCTCAATAAACAAAACTATGAGAACAATTGGTAATACTATGATTCCCTCTTACTTCTCCTTTTAACGAACAATCGTTGTAGTATAGTCCTCTGTCGGTCTTTTATATCAATCATTGATTTTACCTCGGGGGCCTCAATAATTACCAGTGTTTTCCCGCGCTTGTCATTTGTTTTTCCACTGAACACAACGCAATTATTCAATGTGCATTGAACAATCAATATCCAATTGGATGAATAGATGAGGAATTTTTGAGACGACTAATTAGTATGTATTTCTCCTATTCCTTGTTTGATAATGAAAATTTTTTTTGTTCATGTTTGATAATTATTTATTCCATTACAATAACTCCAATATTTATTTCATCATTCTAAAAACTATATGAGTTTAAAAAAACATAATTGAATATTTATCATAATAAAACATTACATATATGCAAAAAAAAAATAAAACAAAAAGATTTTCTGTGAAATATCTCTCTTTTTGCCTACGTCGACTCGTTTATTACTGAGGGTTATTAAATCTTGGAATTCCTCTTAAACTTAAGTTTTCTTGGTACACCAACAGAAGTAGTAAAGAAGTGTGAAAGACCCTAAGAAAGCGTGACCGATGACAGTACACGTAGTTGTACATATATGAATATACATACTTGCCCTCTGTGAAACATTTAAAATTTTTATCATGGTCTAAGATTATTATTTAAACCCTAAAATTTGAGTAAGTCAATCTAGTTTCTTTGATATAGTTTAATAATTAGATAAAAAACTGGTCAAAGTAATTACCATGACCAATGACATGAAAACTAATGTCAAAGGTATAATATAAGAGATATGGTTTATGGTGCTAACCCTGTATGACTTTTTAAAGTACCCTTGTTCCAACAAATGCTATCAAGTATTATATATTGAATGTATGACTACTTACAATCCCTAGTTGCGTGTCTGACATAACTTTACGATTCTCATTTCCCGCAACGTCATTCAGCACTCTACTAGGGCAAAATGGACAAGGACTTTATAACTTTAACCCTCCGTATTCACTTATTGCGTTAAGCAGTCTACATTATATGAAAAAAATATAATACCACTTTTCAATGATTTAAAAGATAATTTAATCTTATCTAATCTCTATTTTGATGCACAAAAACATCATCAGAAATCACGTTCAATCTTTCAAAATATTGCTGAAGTTTCAAGTCTTGACATCGACTAATTGACATCCTAATGATTAAGTCTTTAATCATTTTAAATCAAAATCAATGTATCTTTTCTTATTTATTTCACCTATTTATATCATTTTTATTTTGCTAAAATTCTAAAGAAAAAATAAAAAAATCATCACTAATAACTACGTCGCTTACTAAAAATTATTGATTTGAAAAAATAAAAAATTTTATGTTAATTTAGAAAACATTCCTGAATGTTATGACACAAAAGTAACACTCTATCATACTCTAGAAATATTGATTAAAATAAAAAGCATAATGAGCAAGTGAAGGTGATAGAAATCAGTAGTAGAAATCGAAGGTTTAAGCGATATGACAGGAAGAGGGGTGTTGTGGTCAGGACAGGGAGGGAGTGGACGCAAAAGACGAGAATAGTAAAGTCAAGAAGTGGTAGTAGATGTAGAAATGACACGAGCGGTTATCTTAGAGGCCACGCGATATTGTCATCAGGGTAGAAAGCAGTTAGAAATGGTGGTAAGTGATGATAAGATCTTCTTAGCTAGAACTAAGGCATAAGTCTACTGTGGTCTTTCTCTGCCTATGTCCATTACCTTCTATTCCTATACTTACTACCCTATGGTTTAACGAAGACTATTTAAACGATAATACAGACAGCGTTAGCCCCTTATATGTGCATTATCTCGCACGCAAATTAACTTTATATTATTTTTTCAAGTTTATATCATGGTAATAATGATAATGATGATGGTATTTATTATTATAAAAGTTATTGAATGTGTTCTTATTATTTGAAAACTATCTTCTACTTGAGCTTAATCGATTTTATGAACTATTATATTTTTTCTATTCTCTATGATTTTTCCCAGGAAATATAATTGACTTGGTAATATAAAAAATCATTACAGTCACGAATCAGAGATTATACAGAATGGAAGGTAACTCAGAGAAATGTCTTAAGGCTATTATTCAGCTCTAGATTGTGTTTATAGACAAGAAGTTGGATGATTTATCGATGTATAGATTTTATGATCATGTTGTTTTACATTATACGATCTATTGTCTTTTTTATCTTGGACAATAATTAAAACTGATTTGATTAAAATAGTTGACATATCCAAGAAAAAAAATCTTTTTACGACACATTATTTATTATTTTCTACATTGAAATTGAGCTTTTTTATTATTTACCATTCTTATAATTTATATTGCTTGAACAACCATCACAAAGTTTAAAACTTTACTCTCTATAATATGACACTGCTTTACGTGTAGGTATTTTCGGACTTGTTTTTGTGAATCTCAAGTTCCCTAATATTATTCACTAAATGTGAGTTTTCAAAATATATTTCATACAGAATACTGAGCGACACCAAAGTATGTAAATATACATGGTAAGAAAGCATGTTTTCATCTTAAGGCACGTACACGAGTGTTGCGTCTATTCTTTTTAATATAAATAAAGTTATGACTTGAAACAAAAAAAAAACTTTTTAACACATAGACATCTGAGAATTTTACAGCAATTTACAATTAAATGTAATTGAAGATGAAAAAAAATAAACATTAAATGGTCTAAATGATTATGAATTGATCAATAATTTATCAATAATCCTTGATATATGTATATGTGTATGATCCTCACAGTTGAGAAGGCAATTACGTGAGAATTCTTGAATGAAGAAGAGAATTATTATCTGTGACGCATTCTTAGAGCAACGTCTCGAATGTCTAAAAGGCCTTCAAGATGTTCTCTCACATATTACGGAGTAGTTTTTTTTATGTCTTCCCATTCCCTCTAGACCGTTTAGTTGAAGCACAAAAGCTTCACTTATCTAACCGTAAGATTCGCAGTACATTCATTCGTTGCATGGGAACCTTTGCTCTTCTCTCCCATATAACCCTTCCTTTAACCACCCTCTTTCTCTCTTCTTTACTTCACGTTTGTTCACCTTATAGGAATACAAGACAATAAACTATGAAAGGGAGTGCGTCGCGAATTGAGTTTAGGACTGTGTCAAATGACAAGATGAGAAGATTTGACTCGTTGAATCATCATCTCATCTTGTACTTAATGTCCATTTATTTAACTCTTTAGGCTCGTCTTGACTCTTATAACAAAAAACTATCCTCCACTTGATATGAGGTTTATCCTGTCGTTTTTAAGCTTCTAAAAAAATTGAATTATCAGAATAATTCCG